AAATGCTCGTCAAAATTTGACTTTTATACGAATTCACAAATGTACACGTTACTTTGCGACGCTGTGGCTCGTTTTGTTGAACATGAATGTGAAATCCGTGATAACAGTTGCAAAGAGCATGCATTAGTGTATACTCGGCCCTAATTTAATTTTCAAAATTCAAAATCTGACAGTGCCAAAAATGCTCGTCACAATTTGACTTTTATACGAATTCACAAATGTACACGTTACTTTGCGACGCTGTGGCTCGTTTTGTTGAACATGAATGTGAAATCCGTGATAACAGTTGCAAAGAGCATGCATTAGTGTATACTCGGCCCTAATTTAATTTTCAAAATTCAAAATGTGACACAGCTAAAAATGGCCGTCAAAGTTTGAATTTTATACGAATTCACCAATGTAGACGTTACTTTGCGACTCTGTAGCTCGTTTAGTTGAACATGAATGTAAAATCCGTGATAACAGTTGAAAAGAGCATGCTTTTGTGTATACTCGGCCCTAATTTAATTTTCAAAATTCAAAATCTGACAGAGCCAAAAATGGCCGTCAAAGTTTGAATTTTATACGAATTCACCAATGTAGACGTTACTTTGCGACGTTGTAGCTCGTTTAGTTGAACATGAATGTGAAATCTCTGATAACAGTTGCAAAGAGCATGCATTAGTGTTTTTTTTCCAGAAAAAATGCGGTTGAAAATTTTCCAAATGGATAGTTTTAAATGTGCCACCCTGTATATGTATACTATGTACCTATCTATATGTGTAATGTAGCTTCCTATAACAGTTAGTAGTTTAGGTACATATTTATTGTTAAAATGAACATAATTCAACACAACCATTGTCAGTATTCGGAACGGCTAAAAGCTCACGTATTACCCCACCGTTGCCTTCCGCAAAGCTTCTTCACCTATACAACCCTCTAAGCGTTTTTCCTTTTCTTCCAATGCTTCTCCAATACTTCCTTTTTTCCTCCCGTTCCTACATTTGCATTTAATCTCTTTCCTTTAATGCTTCGGCCACCACATTTATCAAAAAAGCACTTTCACAGGTTTTTCAGAGTGCAATTGAATCCCGTCGAACCGTCCCAGGCGGCCGCCGGCCGTCAACGACGCCGTCGCCACCGCGGTCGATAATAGTCGACGGCATACATGGACAGACAGTCAAACGTTATGTTCGATTCTTTTCGCCTGTGACTGACTATCTGTACGTCTGTGTGTCACTCTGTGAATACCTATTCCTATGTGGTATTGTGGAAATGGCTACTCTCTCTCTCTTTCTCTCCCTATCTCTCCGTTTTTTTTTATTGTTACGCCGCCGTGACCGTGATTGTGTGACGTGACGCCCGGGGACATGATGCGACGCAATGTTGAATCGAATACCTTTTTCAACCCCGACAACGACCACCACCGCTAACTTTGCGAAAAGACCCAAATACATAGATGCGACACATCGTATAATGCATGTGTATATGTAGAGGTTTTCCAAGTTTCTTCAGATAACTTCAGAACTTGAGTTATCTATCACCGTTGTTCAAAACTAGATCCAACAATTTGTGCAGTACTACTCAATGGCGAAAATCTACACACACACATACCTAATAAAAAGATTAAGTTCAAGATAAGAATATCTGCCTTTGTTACTTCTCACGTAGTGTTCGAGTCCTATTCACCAATTCGTTTCAATCAAAATTCAGTTTTTCAAATAATACTTCAAAATCTTTTGTTTCGATTTCGAGAAGGGATTCTTTTGTGCCTAGTGTTATGGATGGCACTGTAATAAGTCCCAAACGTGTACACAAATTGGTCAGGGATGACAAGAAGAAGGCTGTCATAAGGTCGTGTATTGTAATATGCAGGTCCATCGAGGACTCAAAGAGTTTAATTTTATTGCCCTGTCAACGATTAAACTTTCACTCGGAAATGGATCAGATGGTGAAATCTTAGACTGTTGTATCTACCACAGCCACCCTCACTTGTAATGACCAATGAAGCTTGTCACCCATAATATTTAGGAAGGAAGGAACTCCTACTATCCACCCCATTTATTTACATATTCAAGTTAATTTAAGTTGTAGTTTTTCGTTTATAAGACAGCTCACATAATCCAAAGACAGCTTACATAATTCAAAGACAATATAAGTTTTCCAAGATAGGTTAAGATAGTTCCACATTGTAAATTAAAGTGTACAGTAGAAGTGCAATACAAAAGTCAAAAGCAAATTAATCGTCTAAGTACGCGTTCTTAATCTCAATAACAAACAGCACCGCTAATTAGTTTTGGTGGTGCAGCTTTATTCTGCACTAGTAATAGTTAGCAGCCAGATATTGCCTGATACGAACCCTTACAAGGCTAACCCCATCCGAACAAGCAGAAAGAACATCCCTAACGGAGACTTAACAGGAATGCAAAGTTTTCATTTCAATTTCCAAAGATATCTATCTCCAATATTACCAAAAAAAAAAATACAACGTGTAATTATACAACACGCTATTGAAGTGAAACTTCTTCAAACACACAAACATACCGGGATAGGGGTTAANTAAAATGTACAGTAGATGTATTAAAAATTAAAAGGAATACTTACCCCTAATTACCACAAAAAATTTTATTTGAGCGGACACGTGTTTCGCCACTTCATACGTGGGCATTATCAACGCGAGACAGTCTCGCGTTGATAATGAAGTGGGCGAAACAACACGCTACTGAAGTGAAACTTCTTCAAACACACAAACATACCGGGATAGGGGTTAAGGAATTGGTTTAATGGTATTATTTGTACACTATACATGCCGGAGTTGCCTGTAACGAACGTTGCATTGAAGCGCGCTCACGGCTCAAGCGATCCCCACTACGAACTCGATTACGTGGCCGAGTAGAGGGGGGACATCGGTTGCATGATTTCGCTACATAGCAACTCGCATGAAACGAACTTACCCTACCGTGCGTAAAGAAGTTTCACTTCAAAAAACTTAATTATGTTCGTCAGAGGTTTCCTAATAAGCAATAAAATGAATCAAACAACAAAAATTTCCAATATAATCATCTGCAAACAAAAGAACAGACAGATCCGTTTAGTTATGTACAATAAGTACTATTTTCGATCACAATCAGAAAATAATTGCTGAAAATACAGTTTCAATACGGTGAGATCATTAAAAAATTAAAAGCAAAATTATTCTCTTGACCAATTTTAACACAATGTCCCACTCTGCAACAACGCATTATGTAGATGCAATACAGTTTCGTTAATGTCAAGCATATTATGTCCAAAAAGTGAACGAACAGCGAGAGTGACACCAAACAAAATGCATCAGAGGCAAAACCAACAAAACTTCACCGCTATATAATTTCACGCCATCAGGTTTGGAGAGTTGTTAACTCGTTAACAGTTTGAAAATAACTGGACCGACATACGCGTACAAATGCATACATATCGTACGTATATGTAAAGGAGACAAATAGTTTTGTTCATTTAATTTTAAGTGTATTTACGAAGTAGTTAATTAGCCGCTATAACACCTATCGTTTTCAAATTGTTTTGATGTTCCAACTACTTTAACGGTTTCTCCTTTAGCCGCATTTATCAACATGAAATCCAACCAAACAGTATTCAAAGTCGTAAAAGCAATAATAGCCAATAAATATGGATATTAACTACAGTGCCAAACGGGACCAAGAACATCCTCACCGATAAATAATTTATTGCAATCATGTCAATTTTGAACTTCCCAACTACAGCTGTAGTACTTCATAGTGTTTCACAAGAATTTACGAAGGCATCTGACTTAATTATTTATTTGAAATTGTAAGTCAATCGTAAGATCAAATAGATCAATTAACGGTAATTTTTATTAAGAGTTAGAATCAGAAGTGCATTAGGGTGGTGAAGCGGCCGATTGTTAGCCGTGTATGACTTACTGTAATATCTGCCGCTTCCCCATAAATAGCAGGATAGGTGTAAATATTATTAAATGATTCAATTATGTATTAATTAATGATTCAGTGATTGTTATAAGTAACTTTATTACACAATTTACGTTGTAAATAGCATATAAGAATGAAAACAAACCCTTGTGTCAAAATTATTATACCTACTTAATTTGAAGTCACTTTACGGCATCCAAATTTATTATTTAATATCATTTAAACGCCTTTATGAGTAAGCTACTGTAATTTTAGGACAATTAAGATAAATTAGATTGTAAAGCGTTCGCATTATCCCCAAGTGTTTTCTTAGGTTTATCCTTGCAGGAACTCAAAGAGCTATTAAAATCTTAACTGATTAGTAGCTTATGCGTTTAAAATAGGTGTAGGTAACTAAGTTTGAATTTGGTATATTGCTTTGCACAAAAAAAAAACAACACACAGCCCTATACTATTTCCAGAAAAATATGGGTTGTTTGAATTTCAAATCGCCCATTTATTCTATCACCTTCTGTATTTCAACATCTACCTTTTATTTGTCTATTCACCTCTATGAAGATATTACAATATCTGCGAAATACTGTAGTATATTATTTTAATCTAGCCAGCGTTTGCAATGCAGGCGCAAAAAAATGTGTTTATTTACGACATCACATTACAAACTTCTAAAATTATCAGTGTTTCTCTACTATATTATACATGTATTATAGATACATATAAACCTTCCTCTTGAATTACTCTACCTATTAAAAAAACGCATTAAAATCCATTGTCTAGTTTTAAAGATCTAGGCATACATATGGACAGGCAGCGGGGGAAATGCGTTGCATGATTTCGTTACATAGCAACTCGCATGAAACGAACTTACTCTACCGTTCGTAAAGAAGTTACCACTTCAAAAAATAAGGGAAATTTAATACAAAGTGTTATAATTTATCTAGAACGTATATGGGGAAGTCAGAAGCCACCGATATAGTTCCACCACCGAACAATAGCGTTTTCGTATAAATACACCTATAAATGCTTATCTTTCGGTATCAGACGGAGTTTATTTTAACGGAAAAGTATCAGGAAATATGTTGACTCACCTGAGGTCACCTTTCTGTAAGGACACTTCTTCAAAAACGACTCGTATTCGCTCCTTGAACCTGGAGGCAGAAGAAAATTCAATTTAGAATCACAAAGGATTCGTTCTTCTGAAAAGCAAACTTAATCAGCGCTCCCGTTTGCGCGTCGGTTGCTCTTGCGCTCAGTATTTCAGCCGAAGGCCCTTTTTTTCTTCTACTGCCGTTCGAAAATAATGGTATTAATTATTTTCAAGTGGTATCTGCGAAACTTTATTTCGGAAATATTGACAGAACTGAAGTTACAAACTTTCGCTTTGTGTTTTTTTTTTTTTGCAGACACGAGTAGAGCTATTCCGATATTTATACATATTTCGTCAAATACCCCCGCCTCATCAACCCATTCCAACCCCTATGCAACATCGACCGAAACAAACGAAAGTTGCACAATAGCCCAACGGGAATAGCCAACTAACTTCGAAAGTGGGTAGTCCGCTATTCACAACTAGGAGAAAAGGCTTTTGACTGGTTGCCAAAAACTAAAAAAAGGTTATTGTCAAACTAAAGGCCGCTACTCATTCAATAATTATCATATGTCATAATATTCTACCGTAGACTTGTTTTTGTGTGCATAAGTGATGAGTAAAGCAAGAGCGGGACTGTCTCAGTCCCAGTCTTGGTATTGATTTTGATCATGGTCGTGCTCAAATACTTCTAGTCTTGACCTTGATCTTGGTCTTGCTGGTGTAGTCTCGATCTGGGAAGTGGTTTTGCGTGTTAATCTTAGTCTGATATACTTTATTTACTTTCTCTAGGGATGTGTCCCTTCCAATGTCTTGGATGCGCACTGGCAAAATCGTAGGTATGGAGAAAAAAGCTCATTATACTCTCGACTCTTGTTCATTAAACATACTTTTTCATACAGTACCTGCCAAAAGTTTTGTTCAATCATGAAAAGTAGTGCGAATCGAAAACAAGCGTTAAAGCCTTTAATATGTCTTCAAATATAAATAAACATCTCGTTTATATTTTCAGTAGTAATTGGTACCAATAACAGCACATGCAATTGTAGTGGTTAAAACGGTCAATTTTTCCGTGCAGTACTCTACGGATTATACGCTCCCCACCGGTTAAGAGTTTGGCCGAGAGTTGTCTCCTTCCTTTTCTGGCCTAGTGCTGTTTTTTTCTACTTTGCGCCGGTCAAACTGAAGGTCACATCGCTACAGAAACTAAACGAAGTATACTTGTGTTTTTCTTCAATAATTCTTCTAAGTATATATTTTTCTATTTACCAACATAACAATTGTTTTAAATGCTGAAATTTTCTGTCATACATGCAAACTTGTCATGACTTTTAATGAAAATGATGTCCATAACAAAATACTACAGGGTATTTGAAAGTACTTGCTGTTACGGGGAATGATGAGGATACCGTGGATAGAGAAGGTTAGAAACGAAGAGATATTACAAAGAATAAGAGAACAAAGGAAATCAATAAGAAATAAGCGGGATAGGTTGGTAGGACACCTTCTCAGGTATGAAGGTCTAGTCAGAGAATTAAGAGGGGTAGAAGTAGGCTTAGATTAGATTACTGTTCGCAAATAGTTAAGGATGTTGGTTGTTCTAGTTTTGGGGAAATGCGAGGAGCAGTTCAGGATAGGAAAGAGTGATAGTGCGTGTCCAACCAGTCTTAGGACTGGCAACCTTATGATGATGATTTGAAAGAAATAAAAAATATCGAAAAAAATTAATTTGTCTCTATATTTCAACCATCTGTTATCCAGAAATAGCAAAAAAGAACACTTATTCCGAGGGCATCCCCATAGATTCTTTTTTTGTAATTAATGTTAAAATGTAGTAAAAGTAACTGATAATTTGAAATACTAAAACGTCTTGTTCCAGAAAAGGAGTATATTAAAGTCGCCTCAAATAGTTTAATTCATAAATCCATCGGAAGTTATAATTTTTCGTTTATTCTTGCGTATTTGGTCTTAGTCTTGCATATTTGGTCTTAGTTTTAGTCTTAGTCTTGTTCGTTCAGTCTTGCTTTTAGTCATGCTAGTGTAAAGACAGTCTTAATCTTGGTCTTGGTCTTGGTCTTGGTCAATACCAAGGACAAGACGGCAAAACGAAGACCAATGTTACTCAGGGAGTTTTCCATCTCTCAATTAGTTGCGAGAAAAACCATCGTACATTTTATTGTTTGAAATAAACGATTGGAAAACAGTGGCCGGGTCTATATTCGTGTGTACAGTTGGTTGCATGCATACAGGTATCATGAAACAATCGCCCAAATGCACCCCCGAATTACTACCATCAAAATTTGGAGGACCCAGCAAATACCCACTATATAATTCTCTATTAATGTTGTACTGTATAAACATATAGGTATCTGATGTATTGCTATAATATAAACGTCTTCCACAATTTTAATGGAAACGTCAGTGAGTCGTGAAGTTTGTTCGTTTTGAACAAATTGATTAGTTGGCGTTATCGAAACGTTTTCTCTGTTGGCGGCGTCAAACCAATTTGTTCAGATAACATGTTGCATTTACGGCTTCAATAGTTTCCCAGTTAATTTGTCAACAAAGCAAACTGTATCTGACACTGTCCCATTTAATGCTTTTACTCTTGAAACTCACGCATTTTCATTAAATACCACTCGCATACCACTCCATATATAAACACCTAAACAATTAAACCATTCAAGTGAAGTTGAAAAAAAAAATTATTGACTGTTACCATTACTTAACTGGAAATAATGACAAAAAGTTGCTTACCTGGCCCGAAACCTGTAGGAGCACCTCACATTTTTGGGATAGTTTGAGGGGTATCTTGGCGAGTAGAATTTACCATATGTTGGAGAATAGTTTGATGCAAGGAATTGATAATCGCACATGGTGCCTGGTAATTTTTGTCCGTCTATCTGGAAAAGTTCTGCAACAAAATTACATACATAAACACATAAACAACAATACGATAGATTGTTTCAAAGAACTATTTACTAAAACATTCGACAATTATCTCGACTAAAAAGCTAAATTAGTAATCTATCTATTCGATCGGGGTAAAATTTTAACAGGATTCATAATTATAATCCCTTTCTCGATAAATTCATTTCATCATCATCATAAGGTCGTCAGTCCTAAGACTGGTTGGACATTCACCTCCACTCTTTCCTATCCTGAGCTAATCCTAGCATTTCCCTAAAACTAGAACAACCAACATCCTTAACTATTTGCGAACAGTAATCTAATCTAGGTCTAGCTCTACCCCTCCTAACTCCTGTTTCTGCCTCTAATATGTCTCTGACTAGACCTTCATGCCTAAGAAGGTGTCCTACCAACCTATCTTGCCTATCTTTGATTGACTTCCATAGAGTCCTTTGTTCTCCTATTCTTTCCAATACCTCTTCATTTCTAACCTTCTCTATCCACCTTATCCTCATCATTCGCCTATAACACCACATTTCGAACGCTTCTAACCTTTTCTTTTCCGCCGCGCCCACTGTCCATGTTTCGCACCCGTACAGCGCCGTGCTCCAAACATACACCTTTACTGAAGATAATTTATCACTTTGAAAAATTGGACCCCCTCAACCTTATCGAAAAAGCGATTTTAATAACAAAAGTTACAGAAGAAATACCAGAAAAACATGGAAAATACGACCTTAAATTGTTTATAAAACAAAGTTCCTCACACTTGTGAATGTTTATGAATGGTATACGTAATTTTTTATTTCTTACATGAAAAAAACAGGTCTATTCCTAACTTTTCCACCCAAAAGTCTAATCTGCCTGGTCTGTTATGATGATGATGACGAAAAAAACTTCACGCAACTTTTACATTAATTTAAAATAAAAAGACACTTGACCATCATCACTAAAGGTCGTCAATCCTAAGACTGATTGGACACGCACCTGCACTCCTTCCTACCCTAAGCTAATCGTCGCATTTCCCTAAAACCAGAACAACTCACATCCTTAACTATTTTCGAACAGTAATCCAATATAGGTCTACCACTACCCCTCCTAACTCCCGTTTCTGCCTTTAATATGTCTCTGACTAGACCTTCACACCTGAAAAGGTGTCCTACCAGCCTATCTCGCCTATTTCTTATTAACTTCCATAGAGTCATCTGTTCTCCTCGGGAATCCGACACTACCCAGTCGTACGGACGGCTGGGTATCTTTTGAAGATTTCCCCTCTTCCTCGAAAACATAAAAAAAAAATTTAACCGTTCGCGAGCACAGTACTAGATACTATCTGTATATTCGCTCTTTCCCTACTTTTTCTTCCCTTGTATACCATTATTTTTGTTTTACTTTTATTTATTTTCATACAGTAGCTTTAAAATATTAACTTGTAAAACTACCAAATGTCTTTTTTTTCCAATTTGTTTTAAAACTTATTAACCCCAAAATATGAAACGTGCAGGTAAGGCAATATCAGAGTAACAGCGCAGCGTGCGACGCGGCGGCGGCGTCATTAAATCATCGGCTTCTTTTTTTCCAATAAAGAGCTTTTAGAGGAGTTTGAAAAGACGACAACGTTTCCTTCACAATAAATCTCCGCACAAAACTTTCATTGTTGGTAAATTACGTTTTCATAGAATAAACACATCCGCCAGGCGGATGGGCCGAAAAGATTTACAGCCTTCTTTTATTTCGTGCGTTCCATCTAAATTTATTTGAAGCAAAGTTGGTGCAAAACAGGGCCAAACAGGGCACAATATATCATACGACGACCATTGTCGCTCCGAGTTGAAAATTTTAGCAAGAAAACTGCAATTTTCACTTCCTACATTCATCTTCTTATAACAATGTGCTTTCTGTCGTCTCTTATTTTATCATAAAGGCTCCAAAAACAAATTGGCACTTCAATCTGTTAGATGTACTCGCAACAGAACACTTGATTTTATCGGACAGATATTTATGCATTTGTTTGCCTGACACTGCAAGGATATACGGCCCGTTCACTTAGAGAAAGGTACAGCGTGGTGGTTTATCGTCGGAAGTTTCCGATCAGAGCTCAACCGTAAGGCCACTTACACACAGAGCGATAACGACACGATTTACCGCACGCGATTTGTCGTATCGTATCGGAACGCCGCTTTCACATTATGCGACTAAATGTTGTTTCGACAACGTACCAAGTTGAAATGCGGGACTATCTCTCCTCACAGTGTTGTCTGGTGTAGTTGTATGTATCTGATGGAGTGGAATGCAGGAATTCTATTAAATCGATTATTTCATAATTGAATGCATATTAATGGCTGCAAGTCGCGGTTAACATTACTAACACCATACATGTGAGAATCGGCAACCATGGACAACGGTAAGTTGGCGCGATTCACGACATGTGTGAAATTTATTTTGGATATACTTTTGTGTCGTTGCAATTTACTGCATGCAGTTATCGCACTGTGTGGAAGTGGCCGAAACCTCTAGTGCTGTAAATAAGTAACTTCTAACAGTTATGCTTATTAAGGCAGTGCGTGCACATCGATCTGGCATCGTGTACCATTCTATAAGTAGACGGACTATACCGCAGGACAATAATAAAAATAGTTGTTTAATCATAATCCCCATGAGTTCATCTAAACGCTGAGAAATAATAAAACCAATTCCTAAAATGCTAGCGGAAACAGTTTCTTGTTTTTATTCACATATTATTCTTTCATACGTTCTATGTGTAAGATTTCTTTAGAAACTTGAGAATAAATTTCTTTATGATTTTGAAATGTCGTGTTTTTGAGCGTTTTATGACAACTCTTCCGTCTGGGATCTTATTGTCATTTTCATATTTTTATCTAAAATGAAAGCAGTAACAGAAGACTAAGTTCCATGAGATTGACATGTTCAATTTGTTGCTAAGCCTTCCAACTCAGGCGTGCATGCATGTATTATTGATAAATTCAAAAGAGTCCCCATAAGAAGCTTTCAAAGTAAGGGAAAGCTTAAAATTTGTCTAATGTAGTTTTCTAAGAAAAGTAGGTAGCTCCTTGTGCTTTCAAAAGGCTGATGCCAAGATTTGAAGTTGATTTATAATTCACAACAAAACAACGACTAACAAATCAATAAACACAGCAAGATAGAAATAGAATGCAGAGTGGCATTATTTTAAAAGGCTAGCGGTAATCTGTCCAAAGGATAATATGGTTGCAATGGTGCATACATCCATAGCCATTCATTATTAAACCCTTAGTGCTTAGCATATCACACTTTCAACATTTTTCATTAATTTTATGATGTACAATGATGTATGCATTATATACTATATACTTATGCTACTAACTTATTAATATACGAATTTAGGTGCATATGCAATCCAATATACAGACAAGTTTAACTGGTCTAACATGTGCTTAGAATATATGCAACCAATTATAGACCAGAATGTAGCCTTTAGACCCGGTCAGCTTTTCAGTATTGTGGAAATTTCTATATAGACGGAGGGTATTACGATTTTTTCTGTCACGAAAAAGCGTTACGACCGCGAGGAGAGGGTAGACGGTATATAGCGAGGTGAGAAGCCTCAGCGGCGTAGAGAGAGAGAAGCCGGCGGTTGCGGAGAGAGAGCAACAGTTGTATTAGATGGATATAATGCGCAGCCGCGCGGGGAGCGAGGAGTCCGTTAGAGTCCCGGCGGCGTGTGCTGTGCTCAGCTGTTGTTCTCTGCTCTCCACGTGGCTGGGCATCATTGCCTCTATTTGAAGTCTGTGTAAAAACCATATCATAATTTGCAGTAAACCTGTGAAAACGACATGTGTGCTGAGACACATAATCTTCTGCGAGTTTCCAAATTAGCCAACCATAGAAGTAGTTTCTCTTTGTAAAAGGGTACAATGAATCGTAAAAAAGGCACAGTTTAGTTGATAGATGAAATTAATTGCATGATAGAAGTTAATCTCTATTTGCATGTCATGTTAATGTGTCTCTCTATTCGTGAAAGATGTTTTATACTTTTCTCAGTGGACTCATAAATCCAAAAAGCCGCTTCGCAATCCGCCAAATGCGTTTTACTGAATAAATTACACTCCAATTGAATGAGGCGGCCAAGCGTTCCCCTAACACGTGATATGTGATACTACCACGTTGATTTACGGCGGTAATTTTTATGTTTATGATCCTTTTTCAGTTTACAAACACTCGTAATTTGTACATCTACCTACCAGCATGCGCAAATAATTTTTTGTTTTCAATTTTAAAACACAGACTTTTACTCACATTCATCAGGATTAATTAAAATTAATGGTTCTCGTCTAAAAATCATGAATTTATTATCTAAAATTTTAAAAAGATAAGAAACATTCAATGTATTAGCGAGTTAACATTACCCACTACAATTAACATCAAAAGATTGAGGAAAATGAGTAAATTTCACCCTACCAAAAAAAATTAATGTCTCATTATTTCATTCTTATTTCTAACCTTCTCTATCCACGGTACCCTCATCATTCCCCTGTATCACCACATTTCGAACGCTTCTAACCTTTTCTTTTCCGCCGCGTCCACCATCCATGTTTCGCACCCGTACATCGCCTCATTCCGAACACACCTTTAACAATCTTTTTCGAATTTCTGAATTAATCCTTTGCCTTTGTAGCTGTTTGTTTTGAACGACTGTGATAAAGAGTATATGCAAATCAAAATCAACAATACGCTATCCAAAAAAATGTAAGTTTTATTGAACCTTTTATTAATAATACGACAATTAAATCTATTTACCTAATCAAATGAAAGTAAAAACGATGACTTAAGAGACTACCAAATTGATTCTAATGTTTCAGATATTTTCGGTGCTCTCAGAAATAATAAGGAAAAGGAAGATGGCCATAATTATTTATTAGATAAGAAAACTTTATCATCACCTTAGAATTCAAGCTTCCAGCTAGCATGTTACTTCAATTTGTTTTTTCCTAAATTTCCATTTCA